CCGCCACCACCGCCACTGCCGCCACTGCCGCCACTGCCTCTGCCACTACCAATACAAATGCCGCTACCACAACTCCTGCTGCTGCTGATGCTCTTGCTACTGTGGCAGTTGCAGCCCACTGCTGCTACTGCAACACTCAGAGCAGGCAAGCCGCCGGCAGCCGGCCCGCCACCTGTGGTGCAGTTTCTGGTACGCCTCCTAGGCCCGGCAGAGGGCTCAGCTCATTGTCTCAACCCTTTTGGGGCCTGTGAAGTCAAAAAACGATGCTTTCATGGGTGCGACAGACTCCGACCACGAGGCTAAGGAGCATGCAGCCTCCGTCACGGAAGAAGAGAGCGGGTGAGCCTGACAGCTCGAGGGCAAGATCGGGAAGAAAAGACGGGGAGAGGGTTTCGGGTTGAGGGCTGCAGCGTAATCGCGAGGTGTTCTGGGTTCAAGTAGCACCCGTGAGGCTGCCCGTCTGCGGCCTCTTTGCTCCGTGCGACTGCCAAAGCTTATTATGTGGGAGCACCGAGCATGCAAAGTTGGGAGGCAGGGGTACAAGACTTTGCGTTCCTAGCTGGAGCCTCAGCACATGGCCTTGGCCTGTGCAGGCCTGGACAGCTTCTCGGCAGCATCCCACCGATGTTGCGTGCACGCCTTCTTGAGAGTGAAAGTCCAGAGTGGTGCTCTTGCTATCGCTTCCGAACGTTTGAAGCTCTACACGTGAGGTAGCCTTTGAAACAGCGTGGCGGTCCGAAGGCCTTGGTCTCCTCCGGTCTTGCAAGGCGCTGGACTGCATGATAGCAAAGGGCGACGCCCTAAGCCCCAAGCAGTCCAAGCAGTTGCAGGCCCTCCTGGCCGAGCTTTATCCCGGAGAGGGACGCAGTGGTGCGAATAGCGCGCCAGGGCTGATGCTGTGCTCGCACTCAGGAGGGGAGTCAGGAAATTCCGACCGTGGGAGAAGGACCAGCGAATTACACGAACTTTGAGAGTACTTTGAGAACCTTCTAGAAATACGCCTGCTCAAAGATGTGTTGTGGCCAGTTATGGCCCTGTACACTCTTCAACATGGTTCGAGCCGCACGTTGCGCCGGAAAGTGACTCGCCGGTCATGTTCGAACATGAGCTTGCTGAGCCCGAAGGCTTGCAGGCGGCTGTCGAGCTGGACCTAAATGCGTAGCCTATGCAACTATATGGGATATGAAGGACTTTCTCCACAGATGTGCATTTCCAAAGGTGAAAGCCAAAGCTGCATTAAATTCTGCAACCCCCCTTTGGCGAGTGGCAAAAACGGCTGTCATGATGTCCTGAGTGGAGAGGGATCGGGGTAGCGGAAGATCTTTGTGACATATTTTGATTGCATCCCAAGGATCGGAGCTCCCACGCTGCTTGCAGCCTCTGTGCTGCAGCTCTTCACACAGATGTTTTCAGGCCGGTGGCCGACGTAACTTGTGTTCGGCCAGCAGTCGCAACAGACATCCACTCATTGTCATTCTTGGTAGTGGCAGCAGTTGCCTGGATCTCGAGAGTGCGGATGTCATCTCCCCCATAGAGCAATAAAGGCGTCGGCTAAAACAACAGCAGCAACAGAACCAGCACAAAAATCGGCGGGCAGCCTGCGCAGTTTGGGGCAGCCACAAAGCGCAGGCCTATCTTTGGGGCAAAGTGAGACCAGAGTCCGGTCCTCCCCATCGTCCAGCAGAGGAGCGAAAAGGCCCCCGGCTGCTGCTGGATGGTGCTGGGGGTTTAAGGTTTTGAGGGCTTATGGTTTTTGAGGGTTTAGGGTTGTTAGGGTTTTTGAGGGGTAGTGGTGGCAGCGGTCGTCGTCGTCGTCATTTTCCTCGTGATCGATCGTGCAGTTGCTGTTGCCAGTGCTGTTGCCGGCCTCGCACTTGAAAGCCAGTCTAAGAGGGAGGCTGCGTCAGAACATGGGCTTGGTGCCTTGAGCAACACCGGGCGCGAGGCCGGAAACTCGGACGCAGATGCCATCGATGTACACTCCTACGACAGAGTCAGGCCACCAATCTCAGAAAAGGGAGGCTTTGAAGAACTGAGGCCAATAGCCAAGCACCTCCATGAAGGAATCGCCATGGTGTGAGCGTGTTTCCACACTACTTTCGGCTTGAATTCGTTCACTACCCCATTGAAGTTCCAAGGCGAGTTGGATCCATGCGAAAACCTCCAACCTTCCCTTGCCGCGATGATTTTTCAGTGCTCCTGCTCTGCTTCATGGCGGCAGTGGCAGAGTATCAATCCATTCATTCTTGTTTGTGCGGGTCTTGTTGGTCGGGTTATGGGACATAACGAAGCAGTGCTCGACCGGCTTTGACAGAATCTGGCGGCCCTGGATGGACCCGTCTCCAGCCAAGAAGTCGCCAGTTAAGCATTCCCGGCAGCAGCGGTGGCCGCCCGCACTCGCACTTGACTGCGGTCACTTGATCGTTTCGCTGGTGCATGTATCAGCTGAGTCCGATTGTGAACATCAGGATCAATGTCAAGCAAGATCTTGGTAGTCAACTTATGTGCTTACCAAATATAAGTATGTGGTGGACCCGGTGGAAGACCTCGCTTTTTTTTATATTTTTTATGACTGTAATGATGAAAATACTTGTGCTCAGTTTACTTTCTTCCAAAGTGAACAAGGTGCGGTCCACCAGTGCTGCTGTGGCTCCAGCAGATCGCTTCCTGCTCTGCCTGGCTGACCTTGTGGAGATGTGCATTGAAGAGGTGACCGGGCCGTAATTAGGCTGAAAAGCCTTACGGAAAGCTTTCAGTGCTCGTATTTTAGCCTGCTTAGATGCAGTGTGTATGCATGATGATTTGGTCGACATTGCCATGTTGGCCCCAGGAACCACTGAAATCAGGGTGTCTGCCCTCTTTCAGGGTAAATTGATACTTCAGTGCTTTTTGGGCTGAAGCTTCGGCGTGAGGCGGGCAGGAGGGCATGTGCACTGCAGCCCCTTCTCAAAAAAAAGTGCTTTTCGAGAAAGCAGTGTTGCTGTAGCCTGCTACTCTAAGCGTGGTAGCTGTCCTGTTCGAGCTTACAGCAGTCCAGCGCGAGCCTTTCGCTTGCGCTCAGCATCGCGCTCCAGCGGACTCCAGCACAGAACAGCCTGCAGCAAGAGCCCCCGATTGCTGACGGTTGTCCGTGAGGATCTCGTGAAGCGCTTGCCCCGGCAGACTGCCGCCTCGCATGCCATGCATGTGAAGCACAGAGATGCACTTGAAAACGCTGATGTGATGCAGGCTGCAGGGTCCTTGCAACATCCAGGCTTTTCCCCGTTCCAGCCATTTCACAGGGCAGCTGGCGGTCGCAGGAGTGCCCGAGAAGTCGCACTGCAATTCGGAGACGGAGGAAGAGCTGGAGCACGGCTTTGGGGTCGCACGACACGACGCATGCGCACTTGCAGAAGGCAGCCCTCATAGAATTGATGTGGGCAGAACATGTGCAGACCGGCACCCGGAAGAAGAAGACAGAGTCAGCTTCAGAGCAAACCTGCTGACCCTGCTTCTTGAAGTTGCTTCCGCCCCGGAGACAACATCGGAAGCAATGCCATGCACAGGAGGTGATGCTGTCGTCAAAGCACTTTTTCCGTTGAGTTTCGGCTTTTCTGGACCATGCCAAAGAGCCCTAGCACGATGCGACAAGTCAAAGCGCTCACGAGTCCTGTCAAGCTTCGGAATGATGCTGTGGACCTCTTGAGTGGCCACTGAGGCAGAGGGCGGCATGCCCGCGCATTCGGATCCATCTCCGGAGCCCGTAAACATCCGGAGCCTCTCGCGCTTGGCGCGCGTCCTCCTGCAGGCTGCAGAGGGCTCCAGTTCCTGCGGCGGACGGGACGGACCCCAGAGTGACCTATTATAACGCATGGCATCGAGTGGAAAAGTCTGGTAGGCCTTCTTCATGGACCCTGCCCTCCTGGCAGCGGCAGCTCCAGGCCAGATCGTGAAGCTCCGGTGATACGGCCGAAGCCGGCCAGAAGCCCCGCTGCCCGGCAGGCTCAGATGCTTTGGCCGCGGGAGCGTTCTCTGGACCATCGGATCCGGACGAGAAGCTCGTCAAGTTTACGGACCTTTAGGGGGTTTATGCTCCAAACATCTGTTGACCATGTCCTACCTCTCTTTTTCAGCTTTATGAACCACCAAGGTTTGTTCCGATCTCGGGTTCGGGCCCGCTGCGGAGGCGCATGGTTTCTTGACTCTTGCAAGCATCCTCCAGGTCTTTCGGCCAAACACTTTCATCGAGTCGTTGCCGATTCATTCATTTCAAAACGACCCAACCAAAGAGGACACCCACGTGGTCCGGTAGCATCCAAAGGCCAGCTAAAGCCGCGAGTGGCTGGCACAAATTCCTAGCTCAATAATGAACACGGAGCGGTACAGCTGAATCATGTTAGGCATCTCCCAAATCCGGCAGGTCCTCGAGTTGCGCACAGCATCCGCAACTTCCGCGACGGTCAGTCGACACGCAAACCCAAGAGCGGCTGAACCTTTCGACTGTCCCACTGCCGTACCGATGATCACTGCTGTGTAGATAGATGCCCAGCAGCCAATACATAAGGGGGGACTCGAAAGAGCAAGACGATCCAGCTTATTCCGACTGAACATGCGGCGCGCAGCATATCTCTTTAATCTGTGGAGTGAACTGGACACGCACCTTTCGATGATACAGAAACAGCATGGCACAGCTGCGCCTGCACGTGCAGAAACACCTTCTTGCACGACACTGACGCCATGATGCGACAGTTTTGCCACCACGCCGCCCTCAACATTCCTTCCATCTCAAAAAAATGCTAGGTCCTGACGACCTCATTTGCGGGCGTCCATGCTCGTTAGAACTCTGCAGGTTTCGCAAGTTGTGTGCGAGAGCATGTTGGATGCTCGAAGAGCTGGCGGTGGCAGCACAGCGACTGCTGGCTTCGGAGCATGGCCGAGTAGCTTGCAGGAGCCTCGCGTTCATGGAGCAGTCCCCGCTGTTGCAGCCCTCTCAGAGACTGGACTTGCAGTCTTTGCCTCGTTGAGAGCCGGCGAGAGAGGCAAGTGGTTCAGCGACGGCTCTGCTCCGCGCACTTCGAGGCCGCTTCTGCCGAGCTTGGCTGGAGAGTGTCCGGGGGGGGGGGGGGGGGCGGCCCGTTGTCGCCGTCGGTCCGAGAGATCAATAATACAATTACAAAGTATAATTAACTAGAATACAATATACGTGATATGATATAATATAATATAATAATAATATAGAAGAATATAGTAACATGTTCAGGATGTCGAAGGCTCCACCGAGCAGCTCACGTCACTTGGCTGAAACTGAGACTCGTCATGCGTCATGTGTTCCGTGCCCAGTGACAGTGACTTGTGAAGCGCATGCAGATGTTCGCCGAGGCACTTCGCACTCCGAGCTCTGAGAGTGCTGTGGTTTGACCTGCGCAGGCTTGCATAGTTTGTGTGTAAATGCGTCTACCATTCATCTTCAAAGAACACAGCTCCTCGTGCGAAGAAGGTGAGCAAAAGCTTTCAGATCGCTTGGGCCAGGTCGACATGCACGTTGAAGCGCATCCCCTGTGATCCCCAGGAAGGCACCACGCCGGGGCCCGGGCTGCCTCAGCCTCCGGTGACTCGAGTGTCTGTCGTTCAGCTGTAGCCCTGATTCTCTCAAGTCTTAAGGCTGTTGTGCCTCCTCATGAAGCCACTGAAGCTGCAGCTCTGCTGTGACTGTGACGCGCAGCTGGCCACTTTTCCCTACGTGCGTCTGGCTTGTGGTGCGCAGGCAAGGTGACCCACTGCGGATTTAGAACAGTGGAAGAATCACCTTGAGGCGATAAGCATCAAGATGCAGAGCCCTAAACCCCTGGAGCTCGGATGTCGCGAAGCCATGCCTGCCTTGCGTGAGTGCGTGAGTCGAAACCCCTGTAGTCACCGAGCCCTCATTGCCAGAAGCCCTGTAGAGCCAGCTGTTTACCATAGAGTCCATAGAGGGCTGATGAATGAAATAATCGACCCCTGTGAAGGTCACTGTCAAGGGCGTCGTCATCTCCATCGAAGTGGTTGCAAGCACAACTGGCATGCAGCTGCGTGGTGTGGACGGTCTCAACGTGGTTGTGCCAGAGCTGGAGGTGAAGCTAAGCCACATGGATGCAACCGGAGGGACTTCTACTTGAAGCCGATTCATTGAGATGGGTTCCCAGTCAAAGCAGAACGACGATAGCAAGGCGACGGAAGTCGGATTTTCAGCCTTTTTTCTGATCTCCCTGCGTCCTTGCTTGTATCTCGATTGCCATGAAAGCGGTTGCGGCCAGTGCGAAAGTGGAGCCTTGGGCGACACCCGGCATCTGAATAGATCATGGTTGATTTTGCTGGGAGCTTCATAACCCGGGCGTAGAGCATGCCGGGCATCCAAGGTGATGCGCCGCTGCTGTCCAGGCCTAGCAGCTAAACAAAATAAGCAGCCGAGATGGAGATAAAAATCTATTTTTGATCCCTTCGAGAGATAGCACCAGCTACTACCATGCCAACGAGGGTACTGTCCACTGTTGTTGGTGCCATGATCGGTGTTGTTCTTGGTTATGTGCAAGCAATCAGCAGAGATTTGGCTTCCAACAGGATCGCAGTCTCGGCAGTGCTTGCCATATTTCAGACCACGCTGCAGGACGGTAAGAGGCATTGACCATTTCGGTAGAGTTTGGGCTCCCATCAACGAGTTCTCGGCCCTGGCCATCAGCTTCCAATTCCGGGTTTGAAAAGCTTCTTTTTCTGCTGGAGTCGCTGCTGGAGGTTTGGGATTTCATTTCAGTTGCTGAGATTCAAGGCTGATTAGGTTTGCACGGGATTGAGGAGAAAGGCGAGAGGATTGAGACCAGGCCTAATGATCTAATTATCGACTTGTGTGCTTCGATGCTTCGCAGCTTTGCTCTCAGCGTGAAGGGTGTGCAACCATGGCAAAGCAGGAACGGTTGCAGCAGCTGGGTAGTTTGGTCGAGCGCCTTCGACGCAGCCCGGCATTGTTGCCAGGAGAAGCTTCCGTTATTCAGAAGGAATTGGTTAGCTTGGCAAAGAGGTGTTGGGGAGAGGATGAGGAAGACGACGAAGAGAACGAAGAGAACGACGCAGAGATGCGCAGTTTCGATCGGCTGGAAGAGGCTTTGCTGAAGCTCCCAGAAGCCAAGCAGCAGGCGATTGTGGCTGCTTTCCGACCTCTTCGTGCTGGCGTTTCAAGACGGCTTTCGGAGTGGACGAACGCCCTCAATGACTTTCTCAGCGACGCGGGTAACCAGGGTGGATCACAGGCGCAACATCTCGGAGATCTCCTGCGGGAGGTCGACAGCTCCCCGCAGTCCAGATGGTACCGGCAGTGTCCCAAGCCTCGCGTGAAGGCGAAGTTTCTGATGGCCATTGCCAGCTTGGCACGTGCTTTGATCCGTGGTAGTCCGTTACTGAAGCCGGTGGTTGCTTCTCATCCAGCCGTGCTGTCGCTGGCCAAGAAGATTGTCAGCAGACTCTTCGTGCTTCGGGAGCCTGGCTATGGGGATACTTTGGAGAGGCCGGCTGGGAAACTCGCTCCCGTGAGACCTTTGTGAGAGTGTTTTCGGCGTTCTAGGCTTGACTTCTGTTGGGCCGCTAGAAGCGCTAGACATGTCAGTGTCTTTGTGTGTCTCTGTGTGTCTCTTTCTGTCTCTGTGTGTCTGGGGTTCAGGTGGCACGAGGGCAGGTTGGCGGTCTACAATGCGACCATCTCTCTGGCTGCACAAAGGGCGGCAGAGAAGCTGAAGGATGACCTGCAGGTGTCCCTGGTGTCGGCAGTGAAGCGCTCGGCCAACCCTTCTGCGGAGGATGGCAAGGCCAAGGCATCCTTGCAGCTCCAGCTGAGAGGCTGGCCGATGTCAGGGTGCCCTTTGGCACGTGCTCTGCTGGAATTCCTAAAGTCACGGGCAGCCGAACTGGGAGATCTAGGACGGCCCAGTTTGCGGGAGTGCCCACCACATGCGCTGCAACCCGAAACCCTGCGGCAATTGCTATCACGCCTGGATGCGTTCGAGATCGGCGGTGCAGATGGGATTGTCCGTCTTCGCTTCGAAGCAGTGGCCGCCTTGGCCTTCAAGGCCGTGGGGACCAAGCCGAAGGCAGGCTCTGTTGTCCCTCCCACGACCAAGGCCCAGATGTCTCAGATGGCTCAGATGGGCAAACCGAAGCTCGATGGCTCACTTCCGGACATGGCAGACATCAAGATCGATTATTCAGATGCCAACTTCATGATGCGACTCATCAAGCGCGGCCTGCGTTCTGGCCATGAGGAGTGGCGGCAAGCTTGGGCACAGTTTTGCTGGAAGAAGAATCTGCGGACCAAGCTGTCCGTCAGCAAGAAGATCAGCCCTCCAAAAGAGGCCTTGGCTGCGTTTTTGGAAGCCAACCTCCCAAAGCTCCGGTCCTCCTTAACCTACGAGAAGCAGGGATCCCAAACCGCCTCCCGATCGCGCTCCGACTTCGAGCGCCGTCGAAGGCGGGAGCGGGAGCCCACCCCCCGGGAGCCCCCGCCACTCTCGGAGTCCTGGTCGAGCTCCTTCGAGACGGAGTCCGAGCGCTCGGAGCGCTCCCGGCGCCGCAAGAAGCGGCGGAAGGAGAAGAAGGGCTTATTGGGCTATGCTGATTTCTTTAACAAGTCCAAGCACATGACCCCGGAGGTGATGATGATGAGAGCCCAGATGATGGGATTTTCGATGGTCATGGACAACCCCCTGGCGATGATGGGCATGAGGCCTCCGATGATGACGCCCTCCATGAACCCCATGTTGCCACGCCCCGAGACACCGGGCCGGCCTTATGCCGGCCATGTGGCACCTCCACCGGCTCCACCTGCTCCTCCCGCTCCGCCCACGGCTCTGCCAGCTCCCAGTCCTCCCGGACCGCCTCCTTCCGCTCCGGTCTCCAACTCCAAGCCCCCTCTGCCCAAATCGGCTGTGGCTGCTGCGCGCAAGCAACAGGAGTCGACCATCGACATGGACGATCTATAACGCAACTTTCGGGCTTGCATGTCGGACATTGGTAGGTCTTGGCAGTGCTTGATGGCGCCTGTGCCTTGCATTGCGCGGGCTTTGAAGCCGATTACTATATGAGTCGTCCAGGCTGCATTGGCATGCATCACAGAGGTAAGGTGTTTGCTTTCAGGCTGGGCCGAAGAGTTCAGGTTTCACCGACAGCAAGAAATGCCTGTCCAGCGAGTACACGTATGTTCCTGACATGCTCATTCGCGTGGCGTGTCTGCGAAGCTACAAAACAGGCTCAGGCCAAGATGCCACCCTTGTTGCCATTCCTCAGGAACCCTCCGGTGTACATTTTCTCGCCTCGGCAGCTCCTGCACCTCCCAAAAGCCTACTAACCTCCTGCTCCTCCTCCTCCTCTCCTCCTCCCACTGCTCTGAATTGGAGTTTCTTTGTGCCCTGCTTGAGCTTTCTCAGGAGCACTTGCAGCGGCAGCTGCAGAGAATCCTCGGACGCCTTCTGGAGCGGGAGCTGCTAAGGTCCTCTGCATGAAAGAATGTACGTGCAAGTCTTCCCGGAATAGACGAATGGATAGGTATGTGCGAATACACATATACAGAGATTTCCGTACGTGCACAATACGTGAAGAAACACTGCATGAATGACCACACTAAATGGCGAAGCAACATGATACGACACAAGAATGTAGATACACGTTCACGCTGCTTTGTAGTGCATCGTCTTGTTCCATGCTGTTTTCGACGTCACGGTGTACTAATATTATTCTGATTTAGTCAAATCGTGGTGGACTGCCTGATGTTCTTCATTTATCTGCTTATCGACCTGTCCACTTCATGTCTCTATGTATGCATCTATCTGTCGATGGCTTTGTCTTTTCTCACGATCTTCATGGAACATGATTGCATGCATACATACATACATACATACATACATAGATGCAGCGCACACACACATACGCACAGACACACTTTCACTTGTACATCTGCCCACCCACAGAGACACATCTATGCATCCATGCATGTGTGGCAGAGGCTTGCGAAGTGCGTCGACATACACTGAGACATGTGTGGACAGAGAGCGAGAAAGAGTTCTCACACCCTCTGAAAACCCCATGAATTTTGGGGGGCCAACTGGCCGGGGGGTTTGACATACCCCTCATGCCCCGGGGAAGAAGTTTGTTTGTGTGTGTTTGTCTGTGTGTGTGTGTGTATATGCGCGCTTCACTGTGCACTCTCATGTATACCTTTACGATGGAAGGAAGACCCCCATGGCGTTCCATTAAATGTTGTTAGCTGGCCGGTACTCTCTCTGCCTCGCCAGGTGGAACGGAGGCACCTGGGACTTCCTGCGGCGGGTGGTTCCCAACGACATGCTTGATGAAGCTCTGAGCTGGCTGGATGAACATATCCCCCCGGAAGGTATTCCTATCTAGGTTGTAGGACGCATAGTGTTCGTTAACGACCTGTGCCGGCAGCACTGACATGCCCTCTCCTGCGACACCAGTGCTACATATGTATAAGGCATGCCTGACTTGAGTGCCAACAGCAGCGGGATGAGGGCGCATGCCGTGCATTCCGTGCACTTCTGTTGCAATGGAAAAGATGGCTCTCCGTGACTTATGCCTCATGAATGCCTGGCTTTGCATACACAGCATACACCTGCGTCGCTGGTGCATGGTGGCAGGTTCGAGGCTGCCGACTTCTCGAGCTTGTCTGTGAAATCAGTTCTTTGCGGCTTCCATCCTTCGACCCTTAAAGGGTTCGTCCGATCGGGAAATGCAAGAGCTGCGTCAGTACTGCATGACTTTGCGAAAGCAACATGCGTGCGAGAGAAAGTTGTTTTTACAGCCATTGGTGAGACCACATGTCGCTTGTAGGCAAGTGCCACACCCAACCAACAAGCTGATCGAAGCCGTTTTCAAGGTAGTTCACTAGTTTGAGGCCTTTCAGAATCTGGCTGCCTGGCACTTAGGGCATGTCTACGGCGTTCTTTGCTTCTCCATTCCCAGACACTGTGAAGCTGATGTTATCCGCGAACCCGCTGAGGCCATGAGCCTAACCTTTGTGCAGGGCCTTCCTCTCCAGGGCGTTTCGGCGCCGGCTCTTTCGAAGGCTGGCAGGGTCCACTCATATTCTATGCTCTTGCTCTTGCTCTTCAAAACTATACTAACCCTAAACACTAAACCCTAAACCCTACTATACTTAAACTGTGCTGTAAATACCATATGTTTTGAATGCATATTATCTATCTATCTATCTATCTATCTATCTCTCTATCTATCTCTCTCTCTCTCTCTTCTACGTCTCCTCCAGGCTCAGTCGACTCCGATCAGGAGTGAAGGCCATGGAATGGGCACCGGGACCCTCGGCTGACTTCTGGTGCCTTTTTGGTAGAAGCTCTTGCGGGTAAAGTGGATACTTCCGGTGCAAAAGGAAGCATAGACCAGATACCTCAGCATGACCCGCATTCCTTAGTTCGGGAGTATTGCAACCTGCAATTTTGCAAGCCTTGTTCTGCTCTTGCAAACTGTCTGCAAGTTCTGTGCAGCGTATATGAATACTTCGTAAGCTTATCTTCGGAGCTTGGCGGCTGCCAGGTTTCAGATGTTACCTGATTTCTGCCCAGCAGCAGCTATCTGCATTGCTTTCTCATGCTTCATCGGAGCATGGGCGAAGGTCGTCGGGATACATAGGCCACAGGCACTAGGAGTCTTCCCCTGATCTTTCCTTCTGTTTCCCTCGTCTACCGGCCCTTGGCGCCGCGCATCCCCTGTTGAGCATGGTAAGCTACCTTTGCCCAACGCCTGGCCTACCCTGATGCGTCTTGTGCCCGCCTGTTGCTGTTGCTGTTGCTCTTGCTGGCTGTGTTTGATTTATCTGCATGTTCTTCGTCGTGTTCTTCTTTTTGGCTCCGTCTTCTTCACTGCATGCTGAGCTAGCATCACTGAAGCTCCTATGTTCAGGACTGCCCTCTGCCTCGCCTCCGCCGGCGCGGTCGCCGCCCGAAGCCGACAAAGGAAAACAGCCATCAAGGCGGAGACTCGCACAAGGAGACTTTCATCAATAGGCCCTTAGAGGTTTAGGGTTTTTCCAGTGGAGGGTTTGGGGGGTGCTCCCTTGTTCTGCGGTCTGTCTGCAATGCAGAGGCAAACCTTCCAGGTTCAGGTTTCGGTTTCAGGAGATCCTCGCGACTTTTAGGCGGTGGGTTTCGGCTCTTCCAGGCTGGGATTAGACTGGCGCCGGCGCACTGAGCCCGCCAGGACGGTAAACCCTGCCAACAACGAGCCGGAGGATCCGAAAGACTTCCCCAAGCCATCGATGATCGACAAGACGGCTTCCTTGCTGCAGTGGGGTATAGGCATAGGTAACTACGGTAACCGGGTGTTTCGTATGTGAGCTTTGTATCCAAGCTCGGCCTGATCCGATATCATGTGAGACTGCTCAAGTTACAGTACCAAGGACAACTACTTGGAGGGACAGGCGCTGTCAAGCAAGATTGCCGGCCTTAAGGGCAAGGGTGAGTCAAAGACGGCGACTGTTCTGAATTCATGGCGTGCAGGGCACCATGAATTGCCGTAGATGGCAGCCTGTGACGAGTGGACTGCTCAGGTCGCGATCATCGGCGGCGGTCTCTCAGGCTCGTGGTACATATGCAATGCAGTTTGTGCTTCTGAAGATAGGCACCGTCTGCTGTGCAGGCCTTGCGTGTGCCAAGTACCTGGTGGACGCTGGCCACAAGCCCATCGTCTTAGAAGCCCGTGACTGCCTGGGCTTCTTGGCTTGCACTGATGCTTTCAGGACGTAATCGAACCAAGAGCGCACGACCAGACTAGAAAGCAGCTTATCTTTCATGCAGAAGTTGTTCTGTCATGGGCATTTCAGGTGGCAAAGTCTCTGCTTGGCAGGATAAGGACGGCGACTGGGTTGAGACAGGTCCCGTGCCCGCCAGATGACTGGCTCTGTGCCTGTGTAGGTGGCTCCATGCGCGCATTGTGTGGTGTCCTGCAGGCTTGCACATCTTCTTCGGTGCTTATCCGAACATGAGCCTTTTCGGCAGGATGTCTTTTGCAGCTGGCACGTGTGATCCGACGGAGCCATTCGGATGAACCTGACATTAGGATGAACCTGTTCAAAGAGCTGGACATCGAAGATCGGCTTCAGTGGAAACGTCACCAGATGATCTTCGCTATGCAGGTGCGGTGAGGGGACTCGCACGTGTCCTGCAGGATGCTCAGTTTTTTCGATTCAGAGCAGCCCAGGAGCTCCCGGGTGAGTTCACGACCTTTGACTTTCTCGAGGGCATCCCGGCGCCTTTCAACTTTGGTTTGTCTATCCTCCTGAACCAGACGCCCGTCCCCAACAGTCTGGGGAGAGAGCAGCTCGCTCGCTCTCTCTCTCTCTCTCTCTCTCTCTCTCTCTCTCTGTCTGTCTGTCTGTCTTTCCGGCATGCACATTCATCATGCCCGCAACCAGGAAGATGCTCACACTTCCCGAGAAGCTGCAGACAGCTCCGGCCCTTCTGCCGATGCTGGTTGAAGGCCAAAAGTTCATCGACCTGCAAGATGAACTCTCTGCGACCTGGCAGGAGCACCTAGCAGGGTTGCCATGGAAAGTAATGCTTTCTCGGCGTGCCCAGGTCTTCAACTTCATGGAAAAGTACGGAATGCCTGACAGGACCCCGCGTATTTCTGGCAACCGGATAGGGCAAAAGCCGAAGCTCCGGCGCAGGCCTTGGCCTAGGCCATGTGACCTTCCCTAACACCAGGATCAACACGGAGGTGTTCATTGCCATGGCAAAGGCCCTGGACTTCATCGACCCAGAGAAGCTATCCATGACAGAGGGGGGGCTCAGGGCCACAAGATTTTTGCGGCTTCCGCTCTACTGACATGTCTTTGTTGTTGCTTAGGCTCGAGCTTAGCTTGACTAGTGGGGATCTTCGAGATGGCTCTGAGGGCCTTGCCCAAGGTTACAGATCTGCCATTGAGTGTCGCAGTCTTGGCTGGGGGAAACAGATGTCACAGCACGGATGCACTCAAGTGTTAAGGATTGCCTTCCAAGAAGGCAGACAGAGTGTCTTGAAGAAGACATTCCAACGGTGGTTCATGATCGAGTCTGGAAGCTTGCGCCCTAGAGGCTACAAAAAGGCATTCTATGCAGCGAACGACCGGGGCCGTGCATGTCATTTCCTTTCAGGCTACGCCACGGACTTGTTGCTTGCACCCAGGCCACATACCAGGAAGCAAGTCACCAACGAGATGGTCGGAGCACATGCTTCAGCCAGCCACGGCCTTCCATGTAGAGGCTTATCAAGATCCACTTGGAAGCTGAAACTATCGACGTGTGACCTCCTCCTCGCAACTGTACACCGTACCAATGAAGAACATTATTCAGGAACAGAGTAGCTGCTTTCATCGCTGCCCATAGAGATGAAAGCAGCTACAGCTACGTTGTTCATGAATGATGACGACCTTCAGCATTGGTACGGTGTACAGTTGGGAGGAGGGAGAGGAGGTTACATGCCGATCGTTTCAGATTCAAAATGGATCTTGATAAGCCTCTACATGGAAAGCCGTGGCTGGGTGAAGCATGTCATCATCCTTACCATGCACTTGAGAACAGCCTACATTAATTGCAGTCCAGTTCAGACCGTTACCGCCATGCCTGCTTTGCGAGTGTGTGAGTCGATATGCAGTCCAGTGGCGGATGTTGCAGATGAGATCGTCCAGGCGCTCAGAAATTCTTCGTTTTAGGCAGCCTCTGGGCTGTATGCAGGATGACGTCACAAATTCGCGGGCTCACCTTTTATCCGCTACGTGACGGCCTTGCCTTCGCCAGTGACTTGTACAACAAAGTGCAAGATCAAACATGAATGGTGGTCCGTCGAGCAGCCGTCTCAGGCTAGACAAGATTTCTTGTTGGCCAGACAGAGCGAGGGACAAGATTCACTGTCCTGATTTCGAGCCCTTCCTTGAGATGAAAAGCCGTACGAAAGCAGATGGATGAGGGTATTATTGCATACGAAGCAAGCACTACTTGCAGGGAAGACCGAGTTAGAGGAGCAAGCAAAGTCTGCACAGCGTGAGCTGCAGATCGAGGAGGCTGAGCCGATTGCTGACAAGGGTCAACAGTGGTACCCGATGCCGCTCGGAGCCGGAGCCAAACCCCGAGCCTTCAAAGCGATTGGGATGGCTTGCTACAAGACGGTCGCCGGTGACATTATTGAGCAAGAGGACCATTGCATTGCCGAGCTAGAGCGGCAGATGGATGAGAAGAACATTGAAGTTGCCACCGGACCTCGCCGGCCAGTCGCCATCTACACGAGCACCGTCGCCAAAGATGAGCCCCGTACATTTTCACTTAGTAGGAAGCGCTTCCTGCCAAAAGAGACCTCTCCTGTGAAGATCAACAAGACTCGACAGCTAGGTTGCCGCCTCATGTGATGAATGCCGATCGGCAGGCACATCAGCTCTTCCTGCATGTTCCGATAGGCCTGGGTTGAAGGCTGAGGGTTCATGCTTGCGCATCCGTTAAGTTAATTTCATCTCACGAGCAAGATCACAGGAGTCTACTCGTCTAGTTGTGCGGCCATGCGTTCAAGATTGCCGCTTGGGGTCACGTTCAAGACTGCTGCTTGGGATAAAAAATGGTTGTGTCCTTGCAGCCCGGAAGCCCAGATATATGACCACAGCCGGTGCAGCCATATACTGTATCCGTGTACGTATTCCCGAAGCCCCGAAGCCAGATATATAACCACAGCCGGCACAGCCATATCCTCGCTTTTGCACACAATATATACATACAGTAGAGTCCACTGTCGTAGGACCGTGGTGCTCACGGCCATGAACCGGTTCTTGAACGAGACGGACGGCATCCCGACCTGTTGGACTTAGTTGTGCTCGGCCTGGGGTTTTCTGCGTGCCCAAAACTCCTGCAACGTGATACGGAAGGGGCTTTTGGGTCAAAGCATTCGAGGCCTTCAGATGGCTTTCCTGGATGGAAATCAGACGCTGCGACTTTGCGAGCCCATGAAGCAGTATATTGAGGCAAGGGGTGGCCAGGTGCTGCTGAACAAGCCTCTGGCCAGCACCCTGCACAAAAAGACAGAAGACATATTTTGCCGAGGGGGGGTACAGTAGAGTTCGTTTGACGGTTGGCTCGTTTGGGACGCCGGGTTCGACTGGACTTTGCCCAGGCATCGAGACCAACGAGGATGGCTCCGTGAAGCACTTCCTCATGCGCGACGGTGAGAAGGTGGTCGCTGACGAGTACATCTCCTCGGTTTCCTGAATAAAAATTGGTCACCGGCATTCACCGGCTCAAGATGCATTTCCGCTGGCCTCGCCAAGATAAGGTCCCCTGCGACATCATGAAGCGCATTCTTCCAAAGGCTTGGTCCACGGACCCATTCTTCCGGCAGATAGACGAGCTGGAAGGCGGGTTTTGCGGAAGGAGAGTCCTCAACATGATTTGAACAGCCCTGCTGTGAGGCATTCCAGTTATCAACATCCATCTCTGGTTTGATCGTAAGACCCTCTGCTGCACTTGGTTTGCTTCCTGTCTGGAGGGCTATTTCCAGTTCTGGAGTTCTGCGGTCAGTCTTGACAAATCCCTGTGTCCGGCGGGTTTGTCGAGGCTCCTCAACGTGAACCACCTCTGCTTTAGCAGAAGTCCGCTCCTGTCTGTGTATGCGGACATGAGCACGTGTTGCAACCTGGTTTGCAGAAAGTGAACACAGGAAGCCAGTTCTGTGGCGTAGTAGAGGGCAAGCACTAAACACACCTGGCGGGTCAGCTGTGAGAACGTAAGCCCTAGTGTCATGGTCTTAGATTGGTTCTCCTTGCTATTGTGCATGTGCTCCTGTTCGCTGCATTTGTTGGATTCTGTTGAGCCTTGCCTGCTGCTTGCGAGTGTGAGGGTTGAAACCCTTAACCACACAAGGCCGAGCGACTCAGTCAGTATATAATACAGGAGGCAAGAGATCCACTCTGCAATGTGGCTTCGTCCGTGCTAAGTAGGAGGCAAAGCCCTGAACCTTCGGCAAGCCTGGTGAATGTCTCCTGCACGAACCGAGGCAAGGAGTACGAAGACCAGGCTCATAGCATTTTCTTTTGGCTGGGTATGCACGAGAACGGCCCAGGAAACAGTGCAGCGACCATAGAGGAGTTAAAAATTGGTACCGCCCTGGCTTCTGAAATGGGCTTGCTCCTTCCAACCTGACAGGACAAGTCGATGCTCGAGCTGGTCTTTGCTCCCTGCTCGCCAATCGCAGGTGGCAACACAAACTGGACTCTAGCATCGCATAGTCACGCCTGCTTTGCCTTGTCTCAAAGATGAGTGCGGCTAGCATTCATTATCACGTCTTGAGCCAAGAAAGATGCACACTTAGGATGGGCAAGAGCGATCAGGACATCGTCGACGCCACCATGAAGGCGTACACGAGTGTTATTACTCCACGTCGAAAAGTTGTGTTGGGGAGCTCGTTTGTCCTCGGATCTTCCGTTTGCGGTAGGTGTTGTGTCGCGCTAGCGACTTCTGGCTTCAAGTGCAATGCCGTTGTCAGTGGTGCAGATTGTCTGCCGTGGATCATCTGACGCATGGAACCACCAGCTGTTTGCTGGATTGCTCCGACAAGCCCAACCCGTGGCACATGTACATCTTGACAGACACACATACATATACACATACATGCATACATACATACGTTCATACATTCATAATATGTGGTCACATAACATAGCAAGGAAGCAGGCAGGCAGACAGGCAGGTAGGTAGATAGCTACGATATACAAGCACACACGCACACAGGCACCATTCATGCATACAGGCCTAACCATGCACAAATGCATACATGCATGCATACACACATACGTACATACATACATGCATGCATGCATGCATGCATGCATGCATGCATGCATGCAAACACACATACATGCATGCATGCATACATACATACCTACATACATACATACATACATACATACATACATATGTCTATATGAATTATATGCATATACACATATATACATATATAAGTATTGTTATTATATTCATATTTCTCATGTGCATAGATGTACATATGCATGGATGCATGCAGGCATGCATATGTACATACATACATA